ATAGCCGCGAGGAGGTCGGGTTCCCTTATATATCTGCTCAGCCTCGTATTTATGCTGGGAATCAAGGGAAGCTTACCACAGGCTCAAGCAGACCGGGCAGCCTAAGGATGCAAATTAAGCCTGAATTTAAGCTGCGGGGTATGATTCATCACGGGCCGGGAAATGAGACCCGTAAGCTGGGGCTGCGCCATTCATCAACGCGCGAGACTTCACTTTATCTCACTTGATTTTCGATTAGATAATGGACCGGGGCGGGAAAAGCTTACCGTTGAACAAGCTCTTGGTGTTACTGAGATTCGAGTGGATTTGTGGGAATCGTTCTCCTGAGGTGAAAGAATGGCTTAGTCTAGAGAAAGAAAGAAGATAAGAAAAAGTAAAGAAATTACTCCTTAAACCATTTAGGTAAGTGTATTAAAATCTCGATCTTCAATTAAACGAGAATTAAGTCTGACTGAAGAAAAGTTTATGAAAACCTTATGAAAAAGAAAAAACAAGCTCAATAAATAAATGCTAAACCTCAAGAAAAAAGCCAACTACACAATAACCCCATAAATAAACCCGAAACAAGCTTCCCGGTTCGCACAACAAGGCGACAGGATCTTATAAGGACGTCTCGGAATATTGCCTTGGCGAGGCTAGAGTTCCTTGCTGAATATCACGACGAAGGAAACTGTGTCGTCAGATGGGAAATTGAGCCTTAACTCGAGAGAAAGGACAATAGTTCATCAAGAGTTATATTAGGATTTAACAGGAGTTGCAGACTTGCTTTGCTGCGCCCGCCGTCAAGTGAGGGTATATCATGCGAGGCTCTATCTCGCCACTTTCGCGATATTGCACAGTATACGAGGGGTTTAGATTAATATGTTTAGATAGATAGATATATATACATTAGATAGATAGGTAGGTAGATAGATAGATAGATAGATTAATAGAAAGATAGATAGATAGAATAGATAGATAGATAGAATAGATAGATAGGGATAGATAGATAGATAGATAGAGATATATAGGGAGATATAGAGGATATAGATGGGTAGATAGATAGATAGGTAAAAGATAGATAAAGAGAGAGAAATAAGCACACACACACACACATACGTATATATTATGGTACGCATTCTTATTTTTATCCTTGTAATGTTCTTATTATGGTTATTATTATTATTATTATATTTATTATCATCATTATCATCATTGTTACTATTATCGGTGTTGTTGTTTTTGCTGCTAGCATTTTCATCATTATTGCCATGACCATTGAATTATTGTTTTTATCATTATTACGTTTACTAATATCATCATTTCTGTTGTCTGTTTACTAAAATGTCACCTGTTTTTATTCATTATGATCATGATCATTATTACTATATTCATCGCCCTTAATAATGTTACCATCATATATGCTATTTACAATTAATCACAATAATTATCATCATTATATTCACTGAAATTAGTAGTAACGATATCAACAATTGCATTATCAGCCTTAATGATAATAACAGAACCAGCAATATTACAGACCCCATCCTTTCTACAACAAAAAAATAAGAAAAGTAAGGCTTACATAAGTGTTTTTAACAAAAGAAACCAGCAATATTACTGGCCCCATCCTTTCTACAACAACAAAACAAAAAAAAAGAAAGTAAGGCTTACATAAGTTTTTATTGCACACACGTTTGTTTTGTTCACATTCCCATATCCGACGTACACAAATCGTATCTGTATTTCCAGGTATGAGGGGCCCCTTGGCTACGATTTCCTGTGGTTGCAAAATAAATTGTTTGAATTTCTCTTCGCGCTGCGAGCAAAAAAAAATTTTCCTTTTCCGGGTTTTTTTTTTTGTGTCGTGGTTCACCCTAGTCATGTCGCAGCGAGATGAACACGCATTTCCCGACCACTGGAGAGATGATGAAGTCTCGTTAAGGAACTGTAACAGATAAGTTCACTAAGAAGCCATGAGTGAGACAGGGGAATAGATTCAAAAAACATATATGTTACTGATTCTAAGTGAGTGAGAGAGGATGGAAGGAGAGGGATGGAGAGGTGGAGAGGGAGAGGATGATGGGAAGAGGGAGAGGAGAGAAGAGAGAGAGAGAGAGAGAGACGACGAGAGGACGAGAGAGAGAGAATGAATGAGAGAGATGGATGAGGACGAGAGGATAGAAGAGATTAATGAATGAGAAGGATAGAGAAGAGAGAGAAGATGAGGGTTGATGGATTAGATATGTTTTTTAAATATGAGATAGATAGAAATAAATAGATTAGACTTGAGAGAGACGAGAGAGACACGAGGAGACGAGAAGAGAGTCATGAGGAGGAGGAGTGAGAGAGTACGAGAGAGAGAGAAGTTCGGATGATGAGTCGGGGATAGAGACGGAGAATGAGAAGAGGAGAAAAGAAAGAAGAAAAGAAGAGAGATGAGAGAGATAGATCGATTAGACGAGAGACGAGAGAAGAGAGGAAGAGGAATGAGAAGAGAGAGTAGAGGAGAGTACGGGACGAGAGAGAGAGAGAGCGAGAAGAGAGAAACGAGAGAGAGAATAAAGACGAGATGACGAAAGTGCATTGAGTTTTTTTGTGAATCTTTTGTTTGAGTGCTGTGCAAAGAGAGAGAAAGTAAAAGCAATAAGAAAGAAAGAGAGAAAGAGAGAGAGAGAAGAGGAGATCTGAGAGAGAAGAGAGGATGAGAGAGAGAGAGAGAGAGAGAGAGAGAGAGAGAAGAAGACAGAGACCGGATGAGAAGAGAGAGGAGAGAGAGAGAGAAAAAGAGACAAGAAAAAAAGAAAAGAGAGAGAGAGATGGACGACATAGAGAAAAGAGATAGGAGAGAGCAAAAAAGAATGAAAGAGATAGAGAGAGAAGAGAGAGAGGAGGAAGACGGCAGGTGATACAGTGATTGGCAGCTGACTACCATAAAATCGGCCCTCAGGTGAATCCCAAGAAGGAAATATGTCAAAAGAAAACAATGAATAGATTTATCATTTTTTCCTTTAGGTACATAAGATACCCAAAGGACAGAAAAAAAGGAAGAAAAGGATAATAGCTAGACTAAATTACACAAAGGATGGTGATAAAGAGAAGAGAAGAGAAGCGAGAGAGAGAGAGAGAGAGAGAGAGAGAGAGAGAGAGAGAGAGAGAGAGAGAGAGAGAGAGAGAGAGAGAGAGAGAGAGAGAGAGAGAGAGGAGAGAGAGAGAGAGAGAGAGAGAGAGAGAGAGAGAGAGAGAAAGAGAGAGACAGAGAGAGAGAGAGGAGAATAGAAGAGAGGGATGAAAATAAAGAAGGAAGGAAAATCATCCACGCAAATTTACATATACTTTCCATAACAAATCCTATAGACAGATAGTCCTACAAAATCTATAACTACAACTCTCAATAAAAGCAAGAAAGAAGACGTTTTACATTCCTCCCATTTCAGAACCTATATATACTTTCTTTCTGGAAATATGACATTTTCAGAACTTCCCCAATTTTAAGAACTCTCCGAGGGAATATAAGAAAAAAAAGGAGAAAAGAGAAATATTCCCTGCATGTAAAGTTTTTTTTTTTTTTTCCTTGCTCATCTTCACGAAGAGTTTTGGATGATAATACAATCCTGTTGAAGCATCATTTAAGTCCCTCAGAGATGATAGATGCTGGTGCTTATCATGGGTCAGGAGTAATTGCTTCGTCTGTATTCAATCACGTTTAGATAATTGCAAATCTCGTCGGGGGAAAAAAGTATTAAGTTTGGATTCCCTTTCGTCCAGATTTTTGTGTTTTTATTTTTTTCGTTTTTTTTTTTCAATTCGTCTTGGTGTTTGAGAACGATTATGACAGTGATGTTATTCGTATGTTTATTTGATTTACGTATGTTTTTTTATGTTGTTTTTATTATTACATGTAGTATTTTCTTTCTTTGTCGTTTTATAACTAATGTCATCTTGAATAAATTACTTCGTGTAAAATATAATGATAATGATAATAAGCATGACTGAAATGTTGATGAAGATGATGATGATGATAATATTAGTAGTAGTGGTGGTGGTTGTAGTAATAAAACTAATATCATGATAGTATTGATATATATTTTGATAATAATGATAACAGTAATGATGATAATGAAGACTGTAATGATAATGATTATGATGATAATGGTAAATATAATAACAACAATGATAATAAAGATAATGATAATAATAATAGAAATGATAATGATGATAATAATAAAAGGATAATAACATAATTAAATATGATAATAAAACAATAATTAATGATGATAGCAATATGATTACAATTATAACAAGGATAGCTATCATAAAATCGATGATGATAATAATGATAATCATGATTATGATAATGATCATGATGATAATAATAGATAATAATATATAATAATGATAATAATAATATTACTACTACTTACTACTACGACTAATATAAGATAATGATAATAGTAATAATAATTATAATAAATAATAAAAAATTACTCCTACCTCTACTACTACTACTAATGATAATGATAATGATAATAATAATAATAATAATAATAACAATGATAATAGTGATAATAATAGTGATAATGATAATGATATCAGTGATAGTCACAACAATAACAATAATCATAATGATAATGGTAAATAAACATGACAATAAAGATGATAATGATTAAAATAATAAAGATTTCCTTTGTTTTTAATGACGCTACACAAAAACTTATGATTGCTGGGACAATGATTAGATATGTGAAAAGTCTGCGGTTACAGGTTGCCACATTTCAATACAAAGTAAAAATTCATCAATCTTGTCTTTTCCAGATTAAATCATTATTCTTATCAATAATTACTCACCTAATTCTTCATTCCTACCCTTGCTCTTCCAATTTGCACCTTTTTATGGCATTAGAAATATCCTACTATTATTAGAAATATCCTTGTTCCTCCAATTTGCACTTTTTATGGCATTAGAAATATTTTGCAGTGTTTAATTTTTTTTTTTTTTTTTTTTTTTTTTTGCAACTGAC